AATTACAGAGATGCTATTGCTGAGGTCAACAGGGGTTACATCTTTTGAAGCTGGGACCCCCACAGAGGGCAGATGACAGAAGGGGTAGTGTGAATGGCATAGGAATGTGAAAAGGATTTTACTATATGGATGTGAAGTCTGCAAGGTGTGAGGTTCTACACTTGGAAAAAGTCTGAATGTCTCTTCATCCATTTGGCATGTACCTTGTAAGTGATGAGTAAATCTCTTTGATATGTAAATGCCATTAGCTTTGTTCTAGTATCATATCCAAAAGAAGGACAAAAACATTCATATTTACCCCCACAGAATAATAATTAAGCCTCATTTGTGTTATATTTGGAATGTGACAAGCGCCATCTTCTAACCAAGTCCAAACATGAGTGGCCTAACTTGACCCTAGGGAAAGGAATTGTGATGTCCGTCCTATTGGATCGTGGGTGGGACGTGCAACATGTCTATGGAATGGGAAAATAATAACAAATTTGTAGATGCAATTATTATTTCTGCGGCAGGTACAAAAAAGAAGATAGAGTCAAATGTTTCCATTTGGATTGACAGTGGTCTGGAACAAAGGAGGTGGTCAGTTATTATTTCTGTAGGTACGCCTTAACTCCACCCCTGGGCAAGACTTGATAAACCACAGGGTATATATCTAATCATCCTGAAGGGTGTTTGTGTACTTGCTTGGGGCCAAGATCTAATTTTGAGTGAGTCACCACCTTTCCTTGCCAGAGACCCCCTGGACAGAAGTTGTACTTTGAAAAAACCTGTGAGTAATTAGGACTTCTGTATTTTATCCTTTTTGTTTTTATCTGTTGTTGGTGTAAATAATTTGTTTATCATATATTTTTATATGCACTGTGACTATCTTTTGCTCATAATAAACATTCATTTATTAAGTTTTGCCTTTGTCTGGTTAAGAATCACGTTACCTGAAGAGACTAGTTAGTATTTTTATAATTCCTTAAATATTGTATTAAGTAATATTTGGTGGGTTTTATTATTGATTTACCTGGGGGACCAAGGCACCCCATTTATAAATTGTCTTGGTGGTGGCAGCGTTAAAGTAGTAATAGTTATATTATTATGTTTAAGTGTGGGTGGTGTTAAAGGGGGATTTTGTCATTATTTCCGGTCTAGTGCAGACAAATAGTGTACTTTAACCCTTTCACCACCACAACTACGTCACGCACACTCTTGGAGTAGGGTGCGTTCGTGACAGTCAGTGCATTACACAATGACAATTGTCACCTCAAAAATATTTTTTTTATGCAACCCTAGCCACACTTCCCCTGGCTGTGACATACACAATCTACATGTGAAGAAAAAAAAAAGTTTTTATTTTCAATCTGATATTAACTTGCTTTAGAAGTTCTCCTGCTCTGTAAATTAACAGAGAAGTAGATACATTCTAAATTAAACAGAAATTACAAAAAAGGAAATGTAAACATTAGACCTCTTTTTACAGGAAGGCTGAGCAATTCATATGCTGTATAAACAAAGCAATTTAATTCCTATATGGTAGAGAATTAAAGGGACACTGTAGGCACCCAGACCACTTCAGCTCATTGAAGTAGTCTGGGTGCTGGGACCCTTTTGCCCTTAGTGCTGCAATGTTAAACATTGCAGTTCCAGAAAACTGCAATGTTTACATTTAAGCTCTACCAGACGGCCACTGGGTGCGCTTCCGGAATCCAAACTGACTTTTGGTCCGTTATCTGACACTGGACGTCCTCATGGACATCCAGCATCAGATTTATCCCATAGGAAGCATTGAATAATGCACGCGCGGCCACTATAGGATCCTTTTAAGCAGTGAGAATACGGGGGCATGATGTATACACCAAAAACTGCTTCATTAAGCTAAAGTTGTTTGGTGCCTACAGTGTCCATTTAAGTATGAAACACTAGAAGAGTTCTCACGTTATTTTGGTTCGCAGTTTCTGCACAAGGTCTCCTGGGGATTCTCCACTGGTCAGTGTTCCTTTTTTGGATATCTCTTCAAATAGCGCGCCCTCGGCCATCACCTCCTAGGGATGGGACCTGTAAAAGAAGCTGATCTTAGGACACATTTCTAATAAACTTGCCTTTTTATTTTCTAGTCTAATCAGGTTCAGGTAAATCTACTAAATGATAAAGAGCTAGTGGCGGCACACTGTTAATATCCCAGCAGTGCTTAAAAACGTATCGACTGCCAGTAAGCAAGTAGTTTGGACGTTTTAAATCAGGACCTGGCAGTGAATACAGGCCATTCAGAGTTTAGTGAATAACACTTTTAGTCTAGGGATAATATGGAAGCTTGCAAACAAATAGTGTAGCTATAATTAGTGTGCGTCGGCACTAAGCTCACATTTACATATTGTTACGACGCTGTACTGCTAAATATCCCATCACTTTAATGTGTGTAAATTTATATAATTGTCATTTTCTTATTCATCTCAGAACAGCAATCCATTAACAAAAAAATAGTTTTATATTTTAGCTAGGCATCCCACTTTTTCAAATGGTTATTTCTTGCTAATATTCTTAAAGGGACACAATTTAACCATTTAATCTCATTAGATTGTTTATTATATTCAGTGTTAAACCATTTTCAAACAAACACTAAGGGCCCCTGGCCACCCACATTCAGGCAGCTACTGGAGGTATGGCTGAGACATATTACTAACTCCATTCTATCCATACCAACAATGGGCACAGTGATAAGCTAAAAACGGTAAGTTGACACTCTACTGCTGCTCAGGCTGTTTCTACATTAGCCCAAGCAGTATAGAGGGGATGGACTACTGGGGACTCTCGTTTACCATCAAACAAAAACTGTTTAACGGCTTGATTTACCAGTAGCTGCAACAACACTGAGGTCTATGGAGGAATTTGTGAGACCCTCCATAGATGACGTCTCTCAATGAGTGAAACCACAAATAAATCCCACACCTGTCACTTGTGAGGGCTGCTGTGATTGGACAAAAGTTGACCACAGAGCTCCGCCTTTTGTCAACCTCATTTACCAGAAGAAAGTAGCCAGGGTCAGTTATTCATTAAGATGATATATTTATGAAATACTAAAAAGTGACAGTCACTTTATATCCTTTTCACACGATGCTCCATTTCCGTTATTTGTTTGATTGAGATGTATTTATAAAGATTTTTGCTAATTAAATCACAGTCCAGTTCAGCCCAAGAAAAGTCTGGATGCACATTACAAATGAGTAGGAGAAACAGAAAATGTTTCATTTCTCCTCTAATCTGTAAGTTTCCTCTAAGCAGACTAGCAGGTCAAGAGAGCTTATAAAGAAGATTAACCGGGAGCAAAGATGAAGACGCAGAGTTCCACAATTAAGTGTGAATGTCTATATTTAAAATATATATATATTTGCAAGAAAAAGGTATGTGAACCCTTTGGAATGATATGGATTTCTGCACAAATTGGTCATAAAATGTGATCTGACCATCATCTAAGTCACAACAATAGACAATCACAGTCTGCTTAAACTAATAACACACAAAGAATAAAATGTTGCCATGTTTTTATTGAACCCACCATGTGAACATTCACAGTGCAGGTGGAAAAAGTATGTGAACCCCTAGACTAACGACATCTCCAAGAGCTAATTGGAGTGAGATGTCAGCCAACTGGAGTCCAATCAATGAGATGAGATTGGAGGTGTTGGTTACAGCTGCCCTGCCCTATAAAAAACAAACACCAGTTCTGGGTTTGCTTTTCACAAGAAGCATTGCCTGATGTGAATGATGCCTCACACAAAAGAACTCTCAGAAGACCTACGATTAAGAATTGTTGACTTGCATAAAGCTGGAAAGGGTTATAAGAGTATCTCCAAAAGCCTTGCTGTTCATCAGTCCACGGTAAGACAAATTGTCTATACATGGAGAAAGTTCAGCACTGCTGCTACTCTCCCTAGGAGTGGCCGTCCTGTAAAGATGACTGCAAGAGCACAGCACAGACTGCTCAATGAAGTGAAGTAAAGTGAAGTGAAGTAGAATCCTAGAGTGTTAGCTAAAGACTTACAAAAGTCACTGGCAAATGCTAACATCCCTGTTAGCGAATATACAATACGTAAAAAACTAAACAAGAATGGATTTCATGGGAGGATACAACAGAGGAAGACACTGCTGTCCAAACAAAACATTGCTGCACATTTACAGTTTGCACAAGAGCACATGGATGTTCCACAGTAGCACTGGCAAAATATTCTGTGGACAGATGAAACCAAAGTTGAGTTGTTTGGAAGAAACACACAACACTATGTGTGGCGAAAAAAAGGCACAGCACACCAACATCAAAACCTCATCCCAACTGTGAAGTATGGTGGTGGGGGCATCTTGGTTTGGGGCTGCTTTGCTGCGTCAGGGCCTGGAACGTTTGCTATCATCGAAGGAAAAATGAATTCCCAAGTTTATCAAGACATTTTGCAGGAGAACTTAAGGCCATCTGTCTACCAGCTGAAGCTCAACAGAAGATGGGTGTTGCAACAGGACAATGACCCAAATCATATAAGTAAATCAACAACAGAATGGCTTAAACAGAAGAAAATACGCCTTCTGAAGTGGCCCAGTCAGAGTCCTGACCTCAACCCGATTGAGATGCTGTGGCATGACCTCAAGAAAGCGATTCACACCAGATATCCCAAGAATATTGCTGAACTGAAACAGTTCTGTAAAGAGGAATGGTCAAGAATTACTCCTGACCGTTGTGCAGGTCTGATCTGCAACTACAGGAAACGTTTGGTTGAAGTTATTGCTGCCAAAGGAGGTTCAACCAGTTATTAAATCCAAGGGTTTGCATACTTTTTCCACCTGCACTGTGAAAGTTTACATGGTGTGTTCAATAAAAACATGGCAACATTTCATTCTTTGTGTGTTATTAGTTTAAGCAGACTGCGATTGTCTATTGTTGTGACTTAGATGATGATCAGATCACATTTTATGACCAATTTGTGCAGAAATCCATATCATTCCAAAAGGTTCATATACTTTTTCTTGCAGAGGTGTGTGTGTGTGTGTGTGTGTGTGTATATGTATATATATATATATATATATATATATATATATATATATATATATATATATATATATATATATATATACACACACACACACACACACACTCACACAAAATAGGTAAAACATACTAGTAAAACAAAAACAGACTATGAGAACAGACATAACTTTAGAGGAGCTCAGTAATTTGCCCTTCGGTAAATCCAAACCTGCTCAGGTCTCAAAATAGTTACTGCTCACCTATGCCTTGGAATATTTTCTCTCTGTAATAGCACATTCGACTGATCCTACCTATAAGAAAAGTCCACAACCGAAATGCTAGCAAATTCTCTCTGCACAATAGTTACAGCCACACCAGACGTTCGTTTCGGCCTTCTTTGGGCCTCATCTGATCATCCAGGGTTGCTGGATGTCTCGTGCCGTGAGAATGCTAGTATTCCGGCTCTGGACAGCCCTTTTTCGCAG